CCAGTACAGACCAAGTCCAGCACAGCATTTGTCAGTGCTTAGGGACGCCAGCCTAGGTAACATACAGCTGACATTGTACTGACCAAGGACAGTGTACATAATATAGTTTCCTATGTAAAACACTGACATACTCATTCCAAATAAGCAAAACAAACAAAAGGCCCATGACAGATCAAGCTGCTTCTACCAACAGTCTCCTCCTCTTTGCCCTTAAAACCAAAGTTGTTTACAAGAGCTTTACAAGTTCTAGACACTGCTTTGAGCATGACCACTAGATCATCCAATGAGAGCAAAACACTTTGCAACAGGACTTTGGCTGTGACAAAATGAAAGGTAAAAGAATCTCCTTGAAGACTAGAAAGGGGTGCGAGGAAGAACAAACTCAAAATTTGTCACATTCCGCATAGAATACAGACCCACAGTTTCTCCTGTCATGAGAATGAAAATAATGGGACATTAGTACAAGCAGGGTGGTACTGAAAGTAAACTGATATGGCTAAAAGTGTCACTCAACCATAAGGCAGTTCTAACCACGTTTTCTAGACCATTTGAGGTCAGGTCTTAATGGAAATTCTGATTGCCCTCAAAGTTTGACCTTCACAATAAATGCAGTAGTAACCAGGACAGAGCTGGAAACATACCACCAGATCCCTCAGCTTTCCTTATGGCATACCCCCAGGTATATTTTAGATATTCTTTCCTTCCAAATGTGGTTTAACTCTCCACTGAAATATTACTATACAAATAGATATTCTGTATAAATAAGTATATGTTATATGTATAGCTACACTTTATACACACAGAGAGTAAGAATTTTTTCCCCTCCCCTTCCCAAATCATATTTTGTCCCTTCAGGAGTAATATGAACTTCTTAAGAATGTATGTTTGGCCAGGTGTTGGTGGCTTGCACCTCTCATCCTGCTACTCAGAAGTCTGAGGATTGTGGTTTGAAGCCAACCCAGGCAGGACTCAGCCTGTGAAACTGTTTTCTCTAATTAATCACCAAACAAATTTTTTAAAAAATCATTAATGGAGTTGTGGCACAAGTGGTAGAGCACCAGCCTTAGTGAAAAAGCTCAGGCCCTAAGTTCAAGCCGTAGTGCAGGCATATATACACATATGAGAAAAGAGTGTATCCTTATGAAATAAGATTAAGCTGTAAGTTAATACAGAGCTTATGTGTAGCAAGAAGATCTATGAATCTTTCTAGTACAGATACCAGTGGTTGTTCTGGTCAACTATTGGTAGTATTTATGACAGTGGTCCCAAAAGATTATTATCAAGTTAAGTTCTTATTACCTAGTAGGGTCTTACCACAATGCACTGTGTATATGTTTGTAGTGATGTTGGTATAAACAAACCTACTGCACTGAGACCCAGTCAGATGACACTAGTTACAGCACACAATACTTGAAAATGATAAGTAACTATGTTTATGCATTCACTATACTGTCATTTTTACTGTCATTTTAAGATATACTTTTCCTTACATATTGAAGTTTACTATTTTCATTGCCCATGTTACTCTGGCAGTGGCACACCATGTACTTACTGTATCCTGACTCATCAAGAGATGGATCAATCAATGGATCAATCAAGTTATGATGTCTACAAAAGATCGAAATCATGTAATGATGCACTTTCCAGAATGTATCCCCTTGTTAATTATGACTATTGTAATTTGCCTACACATCATTGCTAATTGTTAAATTGTTGTACTATAATTTTAACCTCTTTGTTCTTGAATATATTAAGTAAAAAGGAGGCATTAACTCAGTAGCTACTACGTTAAAGAAATCGTAACTCTAAATAATAATCTGTCGTGATTACAAGTAAAATTATTAAAAATAAACAACTCTCTCATGTCACTCACAAGTACTTCATCCGTATTTATTACATTGGCTATCCAGAAGCTTTTTATCTGTACTTTGGATTAAGTATAGAGACAATGGGACAGTCATTATTAACACCATTCCATAGACTATGTAGAAAGATATAAAGCCAGTAAACAAAAACGTTCCCAATTTCACATGTAATCATTTCTTCCAGTCAGTTCATTAAGATCCTGCTCATGCCAGAGCACCTAGATGAGGGAGCTCTGTGGCCAGTGAACTCATAGCTCTGCTGCTGACTTCCCAGGCAAGAGAGTAAATGATTTAACTACTCTGTTCATTTCTCTGATCAGCCAATAATGCAAACTAGCACCCTTAATGGAAAAGTACACATACTCCTAAACAGGAGACCTACTATCTGGTACCGCCTCTGCAAATTACTGTGAAAATATGGACAAGTCATCTCTCCCCATCTAGAACCCCAAGGGTGTGTACAAAGAGATCCTGTATTCTAATTGCCTTGGCATGGCTACTTGGCATACACAATCACATCAAAGAAAACGTACTCTTGATCAACCTAACCACTAAAAGACTTAGTAAATTTGTTTTTTAAGTGCATGGAAAAGTATTGGGAAAAGATAGCAAAGAGGCTTCTCTATTTGAATTAGATACATCTGTATCCAAAAGAATTCTTCCTAGTCCTTTTGAACCATACCTACTGAACCATGCCTGGATCAGTAATGCTCTACTTTATTTGTAACTGGTAAACAACTGCTAGCTTTGGGGAATGCTCCAGGGTTATATAGCAATCTGTATTTGAGAAAACAATTCCTATTTGCCCAATACATATCCTGCAATGACAAATCTCTTATATATATTAGATAATCCTCACTCTACCCCCCCCCAAGCCCTTCATCATGTCAAGTTGTTCTAAGCTGAATCTTTCTCCCCTCCCCCTCCCCCTCTCAGCCTCCTAAGTGCTAGGATTACAGACAAACGCCACCCCCTACCTGGCCCCTATAAGAACATTCTTCACCTCTGAGGAAGACTAAGAACGAGTGTTCAAAATAAAAACAGTAATAGGGTAGAAGGCAAAATATATCTTTGATAGACAAGAAAGTTTTTTTTACTATTATTTTCAGGATTATGACATAAAGTAAAACAAATCTCCTTTCCCCTAATCAGCATAAAAAGTTATCTGCTGAGTGGTTTGACTTCTTTATGTAATGTGTTGTTTCTAGTACTCCTTTACAAAACACGGAGCTGTTATTTAAGTCAGTCATCCTAAAAGGGGGGATAATCATTGGGAAATCATGCCAGTATCTCCATTTCTGTACTAGATGAAACAGGTGACTGACTAGTTTTCTATTCAGCAGAGTACCTCTCCCCCCCCACCTCTCTCTCACACACACACACACACACACACACACACACACACACAGAAGTAACAGTGCTTACTAGTTAGGTGACTCTCAGTGAAGCCAGGCAAAACATCTTCAAGGGCAGGTGAATGAGTATTTGGTATGTATCCTTTCTATGTACTGGGTCCCTATTGAAAATATTTACTCCTACAATCTGTACTAAATACAAGTCTACTGATACTCTCATAGAAACTGTATTTGAAGGCAAATGTCTAAGATACTTCACCATGGTCATCTAACAGATCCTCCAGCCATTCTCCTTTTTCTTCATAATCTTAGCTAGGTAAGAAGTACATTTCTCTTTGAACAGTGTTATCACCTCCCTCATATTCTCCCACTTTTCCCCCTCCCAGCCCCTTCCATTCCCCAATTAATACAAATATAAACAATTTTTCCAGCAACCTGAGTTTTGGTTCACTGAATTCCATGTCACCAATAACTCATAACTCAACCTCAACCACATATTCCCAAGGTGATACACAAATGTATTATTACCAATAGCTATAATCCCTCCATAATCTCAATTTCACACACCATATCATTCCAGTTCCCTCACTACAGGGCCTCAAATCCAACTCTCCTTCCACTACCCCAGGACCTTGACACTACCCCTTTTCACTGATTTCCTTTTCCTCCCTAACACTTTAGACTCTGTGGTCAATCATTGTAATCTCTCATGATAAATTCCTTGCTTCTCACATGTTGTGAGAACTTGCTTGGAAAAAGTACAACTGACCACCTTGTGGCCACATTACTTAAGGAAGTTAGGGAACGTGCCTATGTATGCACACATCCCAGCTACCTAATTTCACTTCAAATTTACAATTGTCAAATATCTGGTACCAATGATTCTTTGTTTTTGGTGCTGGGACTCTACCAGTGATTCTGAACCCATAACAGATGTCCTATACGGCCACCTGGCATATGTGTGCGTGCGTGTGTGCGTGTGTGTGCATGTGTGTGCGCGCGCGTGTGTGTGTGTGTGTGTGTGTGTGTGTGCGCGCGCGTGCTGGATCTAGGGCTTGAATTCTGGGCCTTGATGCTATCCCTGAGATGTTTTGCTCAAGGCTAATGCTCTACCACTTGAGTCACAGATCCACTTTCAGCTCTTTTTTTTTGGTGGCTAACTGGAGATGAGTCTTATGGGGGCTGGGAAGGTGGCTCAGTGGTAGAGTGCTTGCCTTGCATGCATAAGGCCCTGGGTTCGATTCCTCAGCACCACATAAGCAGAAAAAGCCAGAAGTAGTGGTAGAGTGCTAGCCTTGAGCTGAAGAGCTGAGGGACAGCACCCAGGCCCAGATTTCAAGCCCCACAACTGGCAAAAAAAAGTCTTATGGACTTCCCTTCCTGGGTTGGCTTAGAACCCAAATCCTCAGATCTCACCTTCCTAAGTAGCCAGGATTACGGGCGTGAACCACCAGTGCCCAGCTCCACCTGGCTTTTGAAAACTACCCAACTGAACTCCACCACTGGACCAAGAGCTTCTTAAGGGTAGAGGGTAAATCTTAGTTTAAGGTAATTCTTATAGCCATAACAATAGTAAGCATATCATATGTAACTTCTACATTCTCACTGAATTAACTATTAAACGTATACTAAAAAATCCCTAGCAATGTTCTTTTGGCTCTTTCTTCAAATGAAGACCTGTGACATGGAACAAATCTAATGGCTTCAGATTATTTTAATGGCTCCCCCCATATCCAAATAATTGAAAAAACTTGACTACTTTTAGACTCAAGTTGCTTACCATTTTTCATCACTACATTGGACCAGACATTGGCATTCAAGGCTTGCACAATTCGCTTTACTCCTGTAGACTCAGGAAAATCATCTAAGCAGGGAAAGAAACATATGTGTTTATACTTAGGCTTACATATATCTACATACAGACTCATATATGTGTGTTTATATTTCTCTAAAGCCATATTTTCAAGTACTTCTGGCTTAATCATCTTGCTTATTCATTACTTCACACTGTAACATGTGTTTGGATGAAGATATGAGGTATATTTATCTTAAAGTCTTACAAGTGACATAATTTTTGAAAGAATGAGACTTTTGGTTGTAATATCCAGGCACCAAAAACACAGTTTGCAATGGAGAGCAAGAACTAATAACATGACATTTGACATTTAAAGGTGTCACAGATGTTTGAATATTTCATGTAAATAAGTGAAGAAAAATGGCTTGGGAACATTTTATATTTAAAAATTCTAGGAGGGTTTTCACTTTACCTAAAGATGACATATCTAAAAATCTATTTTAAGATTACACACAATTACCAGGTATAGTAGCACAAATATGTATGTAATACTAGCATTTGGGAGGCTGAGGAAGGAGACTACCAAATTTGAGGCCAGCCTGGACTACACAGAAAATTCCGGGTCAGCCTAGATTACATAGTGACATACTGTTTCAAAAACACATACTGAATTAATACAAAAATATTGTTCAAAGGGACAGAGATTGCAAAATGGTAAGAGTGGAATCCTGACACTTGAGAACAACAAAAAGAAGAGAAAATCCTAGTGCCATAAATAAGCAACTCCATAACATGCTTACATTCATAAAATCGGGCACAAGTTTTAAGAGACCTAAAAACGTGGAAGGACAAAGTGTACCTACTCATTTTCAACACTCTTGGAATAAGTACAGGAGGCCAGGCATAGTGGATTGCCCTGTCATCCCAGGGACTTGGGAGGTAGATAGCAAGAGGATCATGATTTGAGGCCGGCTCAGGTCTACCTCCCACTTCCACCCCCTAAAAGATAGGTAGCAAGATCCATCTCAAATAGTACTACCAAAAACAAACAAAATGAAGATGTGCCTTTAGGGCCTCATGCTTGCTTGCTATGCAGGTGCTCTACTACTTGAGCTCTACTCCCACTTCTTTTCCCCCCACCTTTTTTTTTTGGTCGGTTGTGGAGCCTGAACTCTGGGCCTGGGCACCGTCCCTCAGCTCTTCAGCTCAAGGCTAGTAGTGCTCTACCACTTAAGCCACAGCGCCACTTCCAGCTTTTTCTGCATATGTAGTGCTGAGGAATCGAACTCAGGTCCTCATGTATGCAAGGTAAGCACTGTACCACTGAGCCACCTTCCCAGACCCCTTTTGTTATTTCTTAAGGTAGGGTCCCATGGTTTTTGCCCAGGGCAGCTTAGACCATGGTCTTCCTATTTATACCACTCAAACAGCTGAGATTATAGATGTGTATCCCCACGCCCAGCTTTTTTGTTGAATTGGGATCTCCTAAACTTCTTGCCCAGGTTGGCCTCAAACTGTGATAATGCCAATCTCCACCTCCCAATTAACTGCAATTATAGGAGTGGAACATTACACATGACAACATTCTGCCTCATTTCATTATCATTCTTTTCCTCTGGCAGGATTCTATTCCTATAGATAATAAAATTTTTGGAAAACATACTAAGAATTCAGACTAAAAATTAAGACTAGATAATAGAAAGACATTTCTAACTATCTTTAAAAAAATATAGGTTTCATATAATGACTGTTTATGCGTTACCCTTGTGCTTGTATTCATATTGGTTGTCCTGGCCTGGAATGTCTTTTGGGACAATTGGCACCTCCACACAGTCCTCTATCTAAGTCCAGTCAATTCTTCCCCATGGGAGAGCTGACACCTGAGAGGCCAACTCAAAGTCTCTCAACAGGATCTAACATCTCCAATCTCTGAAATACCATAGTACTAAGTATTGTTTTTTTCTTATGAGAATTCAAATATTTGTATTCGGGTGCTGAATTACAAGGTTTGGCAGACCAAAATTTCTTAGCTCATAAATAGGGATGAATGGTCTGGACAGCAGTGGAGGCCAGAGGGAAATGCTGGGTGTGTTTTTGGTTTCAAGTGTCCCCAAACCACATTGGTAGGTATGAGGTACCCATGAGATTCCCAGGATTTTGGCCTTAATTTACTCTGAATTCAAAAGAAGGTATATAAATTCTATCTGTGAATATAGGACCAACCTTCCGTGTCTGGCATCAGGGAAAGAACAAGGGACTGGGGAAATGACAACAAGTTTAGATAAATTACTATCATCCATTAAAGCGAACAATAAATATTTTAAAAGTCCAAAATGGGTGATGAAACAAGTAGAGGATTATTACATTACTATAAAAGCACAGTGAATTTTTGTTCATATCTTTTCAAACGGTTGGAGAAAAACTGTTTGTTGAAACTCATTATGATTCTTTTCTGCATTAAAACAAACTACCCCATCTCAACCTAAATGCCAGGCTTCCTGTGGACATACACTTACCATCTTCTTCAGGCAATTCCTCAGGACTAAGTTCAACCAATTCAAAGCCATGTTTTATGCACCATTCTTGAGCTTTTTGTCGATTTACTCCTAAAATAATATGCAAAAAAGAAATTTTCATACGTAAAAGTAAAATACGATAAACACCCCCTGACAGATCTTAATGTTTTCCCCTTAGTTTCAATGCTATTCTCCAGGCATCTAAAATCAGTAAAGATAAAAGGAGAAAATGAGGACAAGGAAGGGGTGACATTGTCCAAACATCATTTTATTAATAACTAGATTTTTGGTACTATAGCTCCCTTGTACAACTACTTAATAATGATACTTTTTTAAAAAGAAAGAAAAAACACCCCTTCTGAAAGCAATGGAAGTATCATAAGAGTCTAAAGGGAAATACAGTCGCCAAAAATATTTTTGTAACTTAACAGAATCATCATATGACGCTGTTGAGGAAACAAAAGGCACTCAGTCTACAAGAAATGACAAACGTATCTACCATGCTGAGTATTAGTAGCTCACATCTATAATCCTAGCTACTCAAGAGGCTAAGATCTGAGGATCAAGGTTCAAAGTCAGTCTGGACAGAAACGTTTTTAAAAGTCTTATCTCCAGTTAATCAGCAAAAAGCCTGAAGTAGAGCTGTGGCTTAAGTGGGAGAGCATTTGCCTAGAGCAAAAAAAAGCTAAGGGACAGTGCTCAAGCCTTGAGTTGAAGTCTTAGTGCTGGAGCATGCATGTGTGCCCCCCCCACCCTAAAAAAAGCTACATCCCATCTGAGGGCCTTACCATCTTCACACACTCTGTCACAGACCAAAATCATCACCTCAGGTAACCACGTTTCTGTCAGTGGAAGCCATGAGGAGACACTGTCAAGACCCGATTTCTAGAAGGAGCATATAAGCAAACAAAATCAGAAAATGACCCATTAAGCACTCACAGCAAATGCCACCACCACCACTACCACCACCACCACCACCACAACAACAACAAAGAAAAGATACCAAAATTTCCTACTCAAGGCTCCCTGGAAAGCAAAGTCTTACTTGTGTGCTGTCAAAGTAAATCACAAAGGCCTGGACAGATTTTGCAATCTCTGCAGTGATGAGGAATTTGTTTGGCACGACACACAGATTGATATCCGCAGAGTAGTATTTATTATCGATGGTCCATGGGTAATATCTCACAGCATCACTGGAAGCTGGTTCCACAATAACATCTTCTGTTCCAAGGATATCTAAATAAATAACACAATATTCCCAAGGAAAGTGAAAAACCAATATAGAAAGGTCAATTCTTTTTCAGTAAGATAACTAGATTAGCTGCCTCCCTTAGCTAAGGATTCTAAAGGGTTCTTCATTCGGATATTTTCTTCTCTGACCAACTGATTACAATGGTAATGATAACTTTTTTTTTTTTTTTTGGTCAGTAGTGGGATCTGAACTCCGGGCCTGGGCGATGTCCCTGACCTCTTTAGCTCAACGCTAGCATTCTACCACTTGAACCACAGCGCCACTTCCGGCTTTTTCTGTTTATGTGGTGCTGAGGAATCGAACCCAGGGCCTCAGGCATGTAAGGCAAGCGCTCTACCACTGAGCCACCTTCCCAGTCCAAGTTATAATTTCTTATTTACTGTTAATCAACTGAAAAGCAACCAGCTACAATGTCCCTCATGGAGCATGAGAACAAGTTTGGTGGGAATTCAACAGGAGGAAAGAAAATGAGTCATGAAAATCAAGATTCTGTTTTCATGTAAAATGTCTCATTGAAAATAAACTGCTAGATCAAAGTCTACACCATATTCAAAGCTAAATTTCAAGGTTAGACACAGGCTGCTACTAACCTGGTTGTTTTTCTAAGAGGTAAATATCAAAGCCAACACACACACCATAATGTGTCAATAAGAACACATACAGAAGCACATCAACTACAACAAAGGAGAAAAGACAAAAAGCATACATCAATTGTTTTATTAAGGGGAAGGAGGAACCAACATAGGAATCCACCTTCATTCATGTGTATTTTTTAAACTAGCAAACTGGTTTTTATTTTTAAAGGAGTGAAATGCAAAGTGGAATGAATTCACTTGTTTTTAACGGGCAAAGTATAAAGACAAAGGACTAAGAATCCTACCAATGCCACAGTAGTCCTAAACTGGATGTAAAGTAAACAACTAGGACAAAAGGTTGAGTTACCTTTCTTCAAATCAGCGCCTACAACTGTGTGAAAAACAGCAATTCAAATAGCATACACTCATTAAATGCAACTTAGAGTGATCGCTTTGGTAGCACATATACTAAATTGGAATGATAAAGGGTAGATTAGCATGGCCCCTGTGCAAAGATGACACACGAATTTGTGAAGCATTCCATATTTTTTTTCTGGTCAGGGCTTGAACTCTGGGCTTGGGCGCTGTCCTTGTGCTCTTCAGCTCAAGGCCAGCGCTGTACCACTTGAGCCACATGGCCACTTCCGGTTTTCTAGTGGTTTATTAGAGATAAGAGTCTCACGGACTTTCCTGCCCATGCTGGCTTTGAACCACGATCCTCAGATCTCAGCCTCCTGAGTAGCTAGGATTACAGGCGTGAGCCACCAGTGCCTGGCTCCATTTTTTTTTAATGCAATTTAGATTATTTGGATCTATTAAGTTTAGAATATGAGAACGCTTGAATTTTCACTTTTATATTGTCTTCATGTTTGCATGTTAATGTAATAATACAAAGAATAAAGCTCTTTTCTAACAATTATACATGTTAGAATATATTTACACAGTGGAATACTATACAATTATAAAAGAGTAAAATCCTTTGTTGTCATTCACAACAAAGTAGATGAATCTGGAGAACATTATGTAAGGAAATAAAATGGGTAAAGATAAGTACTACATGATCTCACATAGATATCTGGAGTGCTGAGGACAGACAGATTATGTAGTAATATATGATTATAGTTACATATCAACCAACATATGATGACAGTTAAGATAGGAGGATTATTTTTTAAAAAACGAAAGTCCAGAATAAGCATAATCATATATAGAGACAAAGTAGATAAGTGACCGTCTATGGGGGCAGGGTGAGGGAAGGGACTAGGCGTGGGAGGGGGGATGGAAGTGGAGAATGAATAAAGAATAATTATGGAGATCCTGTTAGGGTGATGAAAAATTTCTAAAAATTACTGAACTGACAGTTTGTACAGCTTCTTGAACATATAAAGAACTGTTAGACGGGCAAATTGCGTATGTGAAGTAGGCCTCAATAAAGCTTTTAGAAATAAGTAAATAAAAGTAGGAGCAGAAAAAAAAGCTATTTCTTTTCTCCTTTCTCTAATCCAAAAGGGATGAGAGCCAGTAAATTAGAAAAATGAATCTCACATTTTTTTTTTTATAACTAAACAACATTTATTTACTTTGCACTAAGACTTTATCTGAGTACATAACTAAATTGTTTCCACCCCACCCCATCTTGAAGGGTTAGTTTGTGAATGTTATAAAGTAGATAACAGTTTGAAGGACTGGAACCAACATTAACTGACAATGAACAACTTCCATCTAAATCATCATAAAAATGTTTAAGTAAAAAAAAAAAGAAAAAGAAAAAAAAAGATACAATGAGGGCCTTCAATAGAAAGATCCTCATTTCATCTAATACATTCGCTCTTGGCTAGACTGTAACAAAATGGAAACAGCATTACTGTTAATACAAACTCCCATGATAGCACATTGTACACACCTTTGTTCCAAGCCCACCCCCTGTGCCCCAATGCTTCCAACTCAATTATTTCCCAGCCTGTTGGGCCTGCCGAGACGAAGGAGTACGTAGATCTTCTCTTTGATCCAGTCTTTGTTATAAGGCTGGTATGTCTGGGTATCAGCTCGGTAAACAAGGCAGCTGAGATCTGCCAGATCGTCGATAAAATCAAACAACTGACTGATATCATACGTAATCGAGGGGCTATTGGGATTCATTCTCTTCAGATGTTCTTCATACATTTTACAAACACCTTCCATGCATTCATTCACAGATTCATAGTCAGCGTAAGTTCTGCCTTCTGGCCTCTTGGTAGGCTGCACCAGCAAAATGGTGTGAGACATAGCGCTAAACGCTTTGCTGCTGCCGCCAACCTGAATCTCACATTTTGATGCTTTAATAACTGGGAGGGTTGGTTTTACTTTCCTCTCTGTGCTGCTTAAAACAAGGTAATAGCTCAGTTTACTTAACAGATTTATTTATTTTTGCTTTTAACATTTTACGTGTAATCACTTTCAATGAAGCTGCATATGGACCTTATTATCACATCTGTGCCATATCAGAACTAAGGAGAAGAGTAACACTGTCTCACCACCATCAATATCTAATGTAGAGTTTAATTGTAAAAATGTAAATGTATGTCTACACTAAATAGAGCTTTCCTCCCTCATCTTTCCTATTCAGTTTCATATGCTTAACAAATTTATTCTTTTGTAAATTAAAACAAAAGCTCTAAGCACTTGTGTACACGGCTTAAGAGTTTTGAGATTAGCTAAAGATTATTCACTTACTTCACAGATGAACAACAATGAGGGCCAAAAAAGACCAACTTGCTTGCTGCTTGCCTAACAAGAGCAAAGGAGCAAGTGGCTAAAACTGATGTCAGGCCTACAGCATTCCTTCCTTCCCTTCAGTGATGTAATGATGCTCACATCTGAGAGATACCACTCCAGAGCTTTTTACCTTTGCACCTCAAGTACCCTCTGTCTCCTTTCAGGAACATTAGGACATTAGGACATTTTGTACAAACCTGTAGGAAACCAATCTATAGGAAACCATTTATGAATTTGGGTATGCATACATCAAAGTTAAGTTTACAAACCTGTAAGTTTTAAAAAACCTATAGTAGGCTGGTAATGTGGCTTAGTGGCAGAGTGCTGGCCTAACATGCATGAAGCCCAGGGCTTAATTCCTCAGTACCACATACACAGAAAAACCTGGAAGTGGTGCTGTGGTTCAAGTGGTAGAGTGCTAGCCTTGAGCAAAAGATGCTCAAGGACAGTGCACAGGCCCTGAGTTCAAGCCCCAGGACTGGCAAAACAAAAAAACCCAAATCTGTAGTAATCCCCCTTCTTTGCCCTTCACTGTAGAGAATAGTGATACAGTCAAGTCTGCTATGTACAAATCAGATGCAGAGTAATTTCACTTGCCTTCTACTGGATGTCAGCTTTCTCACATTGCTAGGTCTTGCGGTACAGCTATAATGCATTAATGTGGGGGGGGGGGCAAGATGGGGGAAGGGGAGAGACAGAGACAGAGAATGCTAGTCTTGCACTCAGGGCCATAATACTGTCCCTGAGCTGTCCTTCAAGGCTAGCCACTTGAGCCACCGCTTCATTTTGGCTAACTGGAGATAAGAGTCTCATGGACTTTTCTGCACAGGCAGGCTATGAACTGTGATCCTCAGATCTCAGCCTTCAAAGTAATTAGGATCACAGGTGTGAGCCACCAGTGCCCAGCTTATAATGCATCATTTTTCTTTTTCTTTTTTTTGGGGGGGTCCAGTCATGGAGCCTGAACTCTGGGCCTGGGCGCTGTCCCTCAGCTCTTCAGCTCAAGGCTAGCGCTCTACCACTTGAGCCACAGCGCCACTTCCGGCTTTTTTTTTTTTTTCTTTTCTGCTTATGTGGTGCTGAGGAACTGAACCCAGGGCCTCATGATACAAGGCAAGCGCTCTACCACTGAGCCACCTTCCCAGCCCTGAAATTCAAGGTATCTTATCCTAACTGTATAGTCATTTTTACACACACACACACACACACACACACACACACACACACACACACACACACACACACACACTCCCTTCTCTCTTCTTTTGCCCCTCACCTGCCCACTTCAGCCAAAAGTTCATGCTAAACTAAGCAGTGATACTGTGTTTTGGACTGTTCCTATCTCTTTCCTTTAGCAGCAGCAGAGTTAGAAATTCTTTTAATTCCAATAGAATTAATGCGTTTGACTCATCATGACAGGGTTGGTGAGATGCTGTCCAGAGGGCTAAAGCCCATTCGCTGTGCCCTCAAGCTGCCACCTCAGACCAAGGTAATCCTTCTAGAAACCAGCTCCCTTCTGGGAACACAAAGTTAAATTTACTTCTTTTTCAAACAGAAACTTCCTTAACCACCAGTTAGACATCCTAATCTGCAGGTCTGTCTACCTCTCCTGAAGACCCAAAAATTCCTCCTCTTCCCTTTCCAGAATGAAAGACAGCCATTGCAGACCTGGGGTCACATATATCTGCAATGGAATGCTGGCCTTTGCAAGACCCTGGCCAAATTGACCACTCTATGACTCACTCTTGAAATAAGACCAAAACAAAACCAAACCAAACCTCTGCTGAAATGGCTTTGACTAAATGAAAATGTGTAAGCCAAGTGCCACTGCTCTGATTGCCTAAGAGTGAGGAACAAATACTCCAGGAGGAGCCTCCTCCTTTAGGTTGCTTGGGCCACTCTTTTAGCTTTGACCACTTCCTAAAGTATTCTTTTTCAAAATTGTTCCCATTGTGAAGACATGCACTGGGATAAAAGAGAAAGCAATTAGAAAAATTATAGGCAGTGACAGGGTCTGACATCAGATGAAAGAGAAAGTAGCCACTAAGAAAGAAAAAAAAAAAGAACTGAGCAAAATGGGGAAAAGTTGAAAATCCAGAGTTTTCATTAACCTAAAGTGAAGGCTTTAAAACCTGCCATGGGCTCAGTTGCCAGTGGCTCAGGCCTGTAATCCTAGCTAGTCAGGAAGCTGAGATTTGATGATCCCAGTTTGAAGCCAGCCTGGGAAGAAAAGTCTGTGAGACTTTTATCTCCAATTAAGTAACCACAGAAAGCTGAAAATGAAGACTTGGCTTAATTGGTAGAACTTTGAGCAAAAAAGAAAAAAGGTAAGGGACAGCACCCAAGCCCTGAGTTGAAGCCCCTGTACCACCACACACATGTGCCCGCGCATCACGCACACATGCACACGCACATACACACAAATTGCCATGGGTCCAGGTTGTTGCAACCATCTACAATTTCATACTCATAATTTCATGAGACTGTCACATCCTATGAACAGATACCTGTATTCAATGTAAAGGGCCTTGCATAGCCTACACCACATTAAAGGTTAAAACTGCAACACTGGTGCTGGCACTTTACACAGATAAATGTCTGGAAAATCCTATCTGGGATTTTCTCTCTCTCTCTCTCACACACACACACACACACACACACACACACACACACACACACACACACACACACAACACCTGCAGAAGTCTATCCAAACAACATCTGTTTCAGGCTGTGACCAGTCAATCACCAAAGCAGAGTGAAAGCAGCAGACACACTCTGTACTTGGTGTCCTTT